GCTGTCCCCCTACTCCCTGCTGCCCCTCTACTCCCTGCGGCCGGGCCTTCGTTGGCCTTATGGGAAATCCGGCCCTGCTTGTGCGATAGAAGCAGAATCGAGTGTCACTGGCCCCCATGCACTTTAAATGGAAGCACTTGAACGTTTTTCAGGTGCATCCATTAAAGTCTATGGGGCCAAAACACTTGATTTGGCCTGAAAAGATGTTCTTGTATTTTTTGGAGCAACGGGTGTTTTGCTGTGGTGTGAACAGGGGTCACAGAAGACAATGAGATTTTTAATGTTGAAGATTGTGTAGCTATGAGCTACAAACTGCTTAGGTGTGAACGGGGCCTGCCCTGACTGAGATGGGTCTAGATCAGTGATTCTCAACCGTGGTGTGCCGTATGAGTTTACCAAGTGTGCTGCAGCAAAATGGATTTAAAAATGTCTTTAAGGGAGCCAGCGGGCAACTTGCAAGGCACCCGACTAAGTCTTAGCAACCGATGGTGTCATCCGTCTTTAGCAATTGATGACATAATTGGTTGATAGTAATCAGTCAGGTGCCTTGCAGGATGCTGGCTCGCTCCCTGGCAACCAATTATATACTTTGCTGAACGCTTAGATGCTCTCGGCAAAGTATGCTGTGCAGGCTGCCCACCAACAATGCCGTGAGTTGATCCTAGAGCCATACACACTAGGAGCCCCCAGTGTCCCGCTCAGTTCTGGTGTGAAGGGAGGTGACTCCTGCTACAGAAAGAGGTGGAGAGGATCACGCAGGGCCCAGGCATGGTACTGATGGAGGCCCTGGACATGTCCCCACTCATCGCTGTGCTCTCTGTGCTGATCAAAGCCACTCTACCCCCCCCCCCCTTTTTGGGGGGGAAAAGGAAGTGTTGGAACCTTGGACAGTTTTTTAGTGCTATATCCCAAGTGAGGAGATTTCTCCTAACTTCCTGTCCTGGTGACAGCTGGGGTGTCCTATTCTGCATGGCGCCCATCAAATAGACAGGAAATGAGCACACATTTTACAAAGGGGACCCTGAGATCAATAAAAAAACATGCAGGTCTAACCCTTCTGTCCTCTATACAAAAAAGAAAACGATCTCCTTCAGACAACAAACAGAACAATGTTTTGTTTTTGTTTTTTGGGAAAAGTAACTGTTGGAACCTCTGACAGGTTTTTAGGGCTGTATCACCAATAAAGAGATTTCTCCTAACTTCCTGTCCTGGTGGCAGCTGGGGTGTCCTTATTTGCATGATACGCATCAAATAGGAAATGCGCATACATTTTCCAAAAGGGATCTGGAGATGAATAAAAGCCACAGCAGAAAGTTTAACCCATCTGTTCTCTACAAAAGTAAAAAAAAAATGAATTATTGGCTTTAGTTTTTAAAGTGTATGTCCAACAAAAAACTTTATTTCGTTTTGGATAGAGCAAGAAAGGGTCAGGATCTCTGCCAGGTTTTTACTACTATCCGGAACGCTGTTAGAGAGATTTTTGCTCATTTACTGCCCCAGTGACAACAGCTGTACCAGACAGGAAATAAGAGGAAAACTGCAACAAGGACACAGTCATCAATAATAAGTTTACAGGGATTCCATCCTCCCCTTACTTTGCTTTTTTTTATAAAAGGTTTTTTTTTTTTTTTTCATCTTTGCCTGTGTTGCTCTTCAAGATTCTTCCTCTCTGAACAGTCCCCTGATCAGCTATATCATAATGGCATTGCCTAGAACTCCACTATAGGCATGCTGCCACTAGATGGCGCCATGACTCCATATTATAATGTCTGCTGTGGCCTGATGGCAGATGTGACTTTCTCTGCTCTCCTCATTAGTCCTCTACAAAGTTGGCTGACATTGTGGAGGAAGTTATCAATCCAGCCAGTAGCGGTTTATGTAACAGAGAAGGCTGGCACTGTACCCGGGGCTATAAATTCCCCACTCAGCATACTACTATACCTATTATGTTCCTGACAAGCAGCACCCTGAGCACAGAAGACAACTTAGATCTCAGTTGCGTGTGAAATTTTACAGGAGCTCTAAAGCAAAAACTGAAATGAAAACAAAATGACACTTTTTTTTTTTAATTAAGTCCCACCCCCCAAAGATGATCATTTTGTGCAGTAAGGAAAATTCCCCAACTTGCTGATGTCACACTGGCAAGGCGGCCTTTTCTGCAGGGAGGTAGAGGAAGGGCGCTCAGTTAGAGCTGGCAGCTCTACATGAACAGCATCCTGACATCAGTCCCCTAAGATCCTTTACATCCACAGAGATCATATGACCAGTGTCAAGGTGCTGCAAAGCTATCCAGTAATTGATTTGATCTCAGCATTTGTTCACTGCACTGACTGGTGTACAGATAGCCACTAGTACAATTAAAGTCAACCTGCTGAATGTATGAGCAGTGCTAAAGTGCTGCCCGCAAGTACCTGTGTTAAGCCAATGTGACACTTGCGATGCTGTCATTGGTGACAGGACTGCTACAGAGAAATAGAGTATGGCATCAGCACACCAACGATCTTCATCCAATAACGCTGTTGTTTAATCAATCATAGCATCAAGCAAAGAGCCACGTTTTGGGATCCCGCAGGGTCCTTTCATCTGCTATAGTGTGACATGATACTATGGCTGATGAAGGGACCCCGTGCAGTCCAAAAACGTGGCTATATGTTTGGCGCCATGATTGAACGTCAATAAAAGCATTATTGGATGAAGATGCTTGGCGTGCTGGGGACATCCTTTACGTCTTGGATTTATGTGGCGCCATCATCTTCCCTTCAGCGCCCACCAAATCAGGAGTACATCAGTCAGGTGTGCCGTGGTCTACAACAAGAATAGCTTCAGAAGACACAGCGTGGATGTGAACCACGGATGTCTACATGCAGATTTTAGTTATAAAAAATCGCATGTGTGACATTGGCCTTAGTCTTCAAATCGATCCCTCCTCCTTCTCTTCTGCGCAAGTTAGGATTAAAGTGTAACTAATTTCTTTTATTTTTTTGTATTTTGGATACAGGTAGGAAAAGGTTAAAACCACTGCTAGTTTATTTTCTACTGCCTGTGTAGCATTTGGGAATTTACTCTTCACTTCCTCTCCCAGAGACACAACAGGAAGTTGGAGGAAACCTCCCAAAGTGAGGGGAATTCCCCATGGGAAGATCTTCCACAGAGCTAAAGCTCACCACATACGTTACAATCTGGTTGTACAATTTCCTTTTTGATTATTATTATTATTTCTATCATTATTATACAGGATTTATATAGAGACAACAGTTTGTGCAGCGGTGCACAGTATAAGGAACACATTACAGTTACAATGCAATTCAAGACAAGATGATTAGGAGCAGGGGCATCCCAAGGCTGGGTGTCATTGCGCATGCGTAGACATCTTATTGATACCTGCCGGAGGCCATCTTGGTTATGGACGCCGGCAGAGAGAGGACGGGACGTTCACCTGGCAGGATAAGGTATGCCGCCGGGTCCCCTCCTCTCTCCTGAAACTGTCGGGCTCTCGGTCCATGACCGAGTACCCGACTTTTCAGAGGGGGTGACACCAAAATGACTCTCAGTCATTTTGGTGTCACCCCTCCGACGGTTTCAGTAGAAAGTCACTCGCACTCCTGAGCGATGCCAAGTCAATCTCTTTATTGACTATGGTAGTGTAACATCTCAAAGCGACGTTTTGGAAACAAGTGGACCCTTCTTCAGGCAAACAGAAAAATGTTTCTGTTTGCCTGAAGAAGGGACCACTGGTATGGCCGTGTTTGATATGTTACACTACCATAGTCAATAAAGAGATTGACTTGGCATCGCTCTGGAGTGCGAGTGACTTTCTACTGAAACTTACATGATCTGTGGGAGCATCTGATGTCACTGCCGCACCCACCCTGTTTTGTTGGGTTCTTCCAGTCTGGAGTGCGATGGGTTACACGTGGTCTTAACCCCTCCAATGTTGTCACCCAGGTGCGGGCTGCACCCCCCTTGTGATGCCACTGGTTAGGAGGGCCCTGTCATTGAGAGCTTACACTCTATCAATAGCTATGTAGTGCAAGAGCCTGCCTGATGGGATACACATTGATTGGATAGATTAGATTGGTCCTCCTATTACATAGTTATGGTAAATCTAAAGTTGATTGTACAGAGATTGTAGGGTCAGATTGCATTGTGTATGGTGGGTACTTGGTGCCTGAACTCCATTCTAGTTATTACCGTAGACATTTTTTGGGGTCAGGTTCACTGTAATTTGGTTATCAATTACCATCATCAAAACCTAGCACAGCTAGATCAGAAATGTGTTACATCTACAAATAAAAATGAGTGCATCCATATTGTTTTTACCCTTTCAATGGGATAACATGCACTAAGCTGAGTGGAAATGGCGGAGATATGTTTTCACTGAATAAGACTTTTCTCTTCTACCTTAAGGTTACACTGGCTACATCCCACGCTCCAGGTTTACCATGGGTGTCAGTTACATACCAACGGTTAAGGTGTGTATGGACGAATTTGATCTCAGCCAGGTAAGGACACAAGATGTGGCAAGAATAACGAGCATCTCCAGGTAATAAGTGAACTCATAAGAAAATACCGGGCGCCTGACCTGGTGCAATAATCCTTTTTAATAATGAAATACAATAAGATATACTCACAAAGGGAGCAAAGAATGAACATCAAATGGACTAGTAGTCCTCAATAGATAAACTGCTGTGGAGATGAATAATCCAGGAGCTCTGCTGAACCGCAGAGTCACGCTACCGCTTGCTATACGCGTTTTCGGGGACACTCCCCCTTCTTCAGAGCTAGCTAGTCCATTTCATTGTTTTGCTCCTTTTGTGAGTATATCTTATTGTATTTTATTTCATTATTAAAAAGGATTATTGCACCAGGTCAGGCGCCCGGTGTTCTCTTATGTTTTTATGCAGTGTTCAGGATCCCTTATCTGCAACGGGGCGGCCGTTCTGGATTCCAGGGAATTTTTCTGGGCTAACAGGAGGGTTCTTTTGGCGCTGGCTGTTGCTTTCTTTTTTAAGAAGTGAACTCAGTCTGGATGTTTGAGATGACCTCTTCTGGATTACAAACCGTTCAGAAAAAGGGCTTCCCAGATCGCCACGTTATTGACAAAGGGGCATTTTGAGTAGCAGAGCGCCTGTGTACACTAAGCCCAATATGGGTTCCCTCCAGGAAATTCATGGCCTAAAAGAAGGTGTAATGGGTAAAATACACAGCCTGACATTGCCGGCCTGCTGAAAATACCAGTTTCCTGGCTGTCTCTGTCTCACTGCCCTATAACAAGCATGCAGCTTATGAAGTCAAAGGGCGGTTGGAAAATAGTGAAGCATTTAAAACAATGTAACAGCCAGGAAACTAGTATGTTCAAAACAAGATGGCTGCCTAGGTATTTTCTCAGTACAGGTTACCATTAGGGTGGATTTAAAGTCAACCTTAAAGTCGGGTCATTTAGAAACATAGAAGAACAAGACTGAGTGGTCCATCAAGTCTACTTTCCTTTATAACATTTGGGGTTTGATTTTTCTCTTCTAGTATACACCTATGTCTATCCCATACTTGATCAAATTCACCTACTGCTGATTAACCCACTGCCTCTGCTGGAAGTCTGTCCCAAGTAGCCACTACTCTTTCTTTAATATGACAGTTTCTACGGCTAGTACTGAACTTTCCTCCTGAGGTCATGTCTCTGTGCTCTTGATGTCAGCTTCATACTGAGAATCTGCTAACATCCAATGATACAGCCCTTACTGCACAACTGACTGCATCCAAACCTCTCGCTATGTATGTAGTTGGTCTGTACAAACCCTCTTGGTATGTATGCAGTAGGGCTGTATGTATCCAAACCCTCTTGGTATGTATGCAGTAGGGCTGTATCCAAACCCTCTTGGTATGTATATATGTAGTAGGGCTGTATCCAAACCCTCTTGGTATGTATATATGTAGTAGGGCTGTATCCAAACCCTCTTGGTATGTATGCAGTAGGGCTGTATGTATCCAAACCTCTTGGTATGTATGAGGTAGGGCTGTATTCAAACTCCTTTGGTATGTATGCAGTAGGGCTGTATCCAAACCCTCTTGGTATGTATGCAGTAGGGCTGTATCCAAACCCTCTTGGTATGTATGAGGTAGGGCTGTATTCAAACTCCTTTGGTATGCATTCAGTAGGGCTGTATCCAAACCCTCTTGGTATGTATGCAGTAGGGCTGTATCCAAACCCTCTTGGTATGTATGCGGTAGGGCTGTATCCAAACCCTCTTGGTATGTATGAGGTAGGGCTGTATCCAAACCCTCTTGGTATGTATGCGGTAGGGCTGTATCCAAACCCTCTTGGTATGTATGAGGTAGGGCTGTATTCAAACCCTCTTGGTATGTATGCAGTAAGGCTGTATCCAAACCCTCTTGGTATGTATGCGGTAAGGCTGTATCCAAACCCTCTTGGTATGTATGCGGTAGGGCTGTATCCAAACCCTCTTGGTATGTATGCTGTAGAGCTGTATCCAAACCCTCTTGGTATGTATGCTGTAGAGCTGTATCCAAACCCTCTTGGTATGTATGCTGTAGAGCTGTATCCAAACCCTCTTGGTATGTATGCTGTAGAGCTGTATCCAAACCCTCTTGGTATGTATGCTGTAGAGCTGTATCCAAACCCTCTTGGTATGTATGCTGTAGAGCTGTATCCAAACCCTCTTGGTATGTATGCTGTAGAGCTGTATCCAAACCCTCTTGGTATGTATGCTGTAGAGCTGTATCCAAACCCTCTTGGTATGTATGCTGTAGAGCTGTATCCAAACCCTCTTGGTATGTATGCTGTAGAGCTGTATCCAAACCCTCTTGGTATGTATGCTGTAGAGCTGTATCCAAACCCTCTTGGTATGTATGCTGTAGAGCTGTATCCAAACCCTCTTGGTATGTATGCTGTAGAGCTGTATCCAAACCCTCTTGGTATGTATGCTGTAGAGCTGTATCCAAACCCTCTTGGTATGTATGCTGTAGAGCTGTATCCAAACCCTCTTGGTATGTATGCTGTAGAGCTGTATCCAAACCCTCTTGGTATGTATGCTGTAGAGCTGTATCCAAACCCTCTTGGTATGTATGCTGTAGAGCTGTATCCAAACCCTCTTGGTATGTATGCTGTAGAGCTGTATCCAAACCCTCTTGGTATGTATGCTGTAGAGCTGTATCCAAACCCTCTTGGTATGTATGCTGTAGAGCTGTATCCAAACCCTCTTGGTATGTATGCTGTAGAGCTGTATCCAAACCCTCTTGGTATGTATGCTGTAGAGCTGTATCCAAACCCTCTTGGTATGTATGCTGTAGAGCTGTATCCAAACCCTCTTGGTATGTATGCTGTAGAGCTGTATCCAAACCCTCTTGGTATGTATGCTGTAGAGCTGTATCCAAACCCTCTTGGTATGTATGCTGTAGAGCTGTATCCAAACCCTCTTGGTATGTATGCTGTAGAGCTGTATCCAAACCCTCTTGGTATGTATGCTGTAGAGCTGTATCCAAACCCTCTTGGTATGTATGCTGTAGAGCTGTATCCAAACCCTCTTGGTATGTATGCTGTAGAGCTGTATCCAAACCCTCTTGGTATGTATGCTGTAGAGCTGTATCCAAACCCTCTTGGTATGTATGAGGTAGGGCTGTATCCAAACCCTCTTGGTATGTATGCTGTAGAGCTGTATCCAAACCCTCTTGGTATCTATGTGGTAGTGCTGTTTTCAAACCTTCTTGGTATGCATGTAGTAGGGCTGTATCCAAACGCTCTTGGCATGCATGTGTCTTTATCTTCTAATCTGCTCCTTTTTACTGATGAGGAGGCAAGTCACATGGTTCATAGCAAGGGCCAAAGGCCTCGAGAGTCCCTTAATAGTGAGACTGAGCTGCTCCAAGCTTACCAACATATTTCAGCAACTATAATTAATGTGGACAATTGTTACCCTCTATTTTGCTGTTCCCCTCTGCCCAGGAGGTGGGAGTGACTGCAAGATCCTGAACTCATTGATGCAACTAAGGCCACTTTCAGCCTCATGCTGATTTAAGGGTGGTGGAGATACTGTTTTGCAGATGTGGTGCTTTCAAAGCAGTTCTGCTTTCTGCAACTTCATGCAAAATGCATGCTTCATAGGGATGGACACTGACTACCCAATCCTAAGAAGTTCTTAGTAAGAACAAGATAGTAATTACATCTGCAGACAGTCTGGCAATAACAGTCTCCAGATCCCGGTGTTGGATCCAACGGAGTTTAACATAGGTGCATTTATTTAGCCTTGAAATGATTTATCCAAGGCTTCATTCCCCAGAACTCTTTACAGCTCTGTTGTGGGCAGTATCACAGGGAAAATAATTGATATTTATCTACTGTACATAGGTACTCTCCCACTATTACGTCTGTGTTTTGGCAGGTCCCGGGGTGGAATACACACTTCCTTTTACATTATCTGGTTATTTTTATTCTCATGGTGAGTCATGAACTAAATACTGAGAGGCTAGGCGGCCAACACAAACACATGTAACTATCAGTATATGAGCTGTATATGCACTAAGAAGCTGTCATCCTGACTACGGGAAACCATCCTTACAGATGAATCCAAGGGGAAAACCAGTGTGAAAAATGAATCACTTTTTTGGAGTTTCTAGCTGTAGAGCCGTTTACATCTCTAAATGAAACATATTAACAGTTTTGTCTCACTTACTTAAATTGGGAGGGTGGCTGATGTTGAAATAGTCTAGTCTCTTAACCCAGAATAATTTGTTGCCTGTGCCCATTACATTCTAAGATCAGTGGAAGTCAGCAGGAGGCGTGCTATAACTGGGCCAAGACCCACCAGTTCCATGTTGTTTGCTTGATAGAGCTAGCTGATAGAGCTAAAGGGCTTTTTCCATAGAACGGGCTGTTTTCCCAAAGTTAAGCTGGAATTTCATTGTCATTCCTGGTCAGAGGCGTAACGAGAACCTTCAGGGCCCCGGTGCAAGAAACCATGAAGGCTTGGATTAGACAGAACACCAGTATCTGCATTTAGTATCGGGGCATTTTCACAAGTATGAGTACTCGTGAAAATGCCCAGTATTGGCAGTGGTGTACCCCTACTTAAAAATATAATGCATTGCTGGGACTTGTAGTCCTACAAAGTTGGTGCTATTCTGTATTGCTGTATGATTATACAGCAATACAGAATAGCACCAGCTATGCAGGACTACAAGTCCCAGCAATACATTGCAGTGCATCAGCAATGCAGACTACCACCAGCATCCCCCCTTCCCACTCCAGACTTGCCTTCCCTCTCCTGCAGGGCCCTCTTCCGTGTCTTGGCAGCCAGGGGGCGGGGCTAAGTGGACAGGGTCCTCACACAGCAAAATGTGCTGCCTGGGGGTCCCTGCAGCACATTCTACAGGACTAGTGACAGCCTCTCCAGCCCTGCCGCACGTACGTGCTGCGAGAAGCAGCACGATCTCGGGGGGGGCCCTCTTCTTCCTCACTGGGCCCCCCAGCAGGCAAAACGCCAGGACCCGGTCGCAGTTGCGACCCTGGTATTTCCGCCAGTGTTCGTGGTCATTTTTGGGGAAAACATGCTTAGCGGGTTCTTCTTAAAGAAACATATTAAAGAGAATATTTATTGTGCTTGTGCATAAGTGTTTTATCATATCCAAGGGTAAAAAATAATGGTCAGTAATGAAATGCAAGCAAGAGGAAGAGTTCACAATGGCTAAAGAGAGCATGGGATGCAGAGTTGGTTGAGGCCTGGGAAGAAGTAGGAAAGTGATGAGAATATGGAAAAGACTTTCGATGATAGTTGTAAGTCCCCCAATAGGGTCTGGAGAGTGATGGGTGGTTGCTCCACTACTGGAGAGTCACTAGTGGGCAAGTAATGATTCTGAGGCCTAGTGAGATCCTGTCCACGATGGTGGAGGGATGCACCGAAGAAAGAAAGAGTGCTGCCCTGGTGTGTCTGGTACTCATTTACTGCTGCTGTCAAAGTGTGCCAGTAAAATTGCACTTTTGGCATAATGCCGAAAGAGCCA